TATTAATGGGCTCAAAACTAGCCCTCGGGTAAACGCGGTACCCGCGTACGGGCTCGCCAAAATTTTTTTCGGGTAAGTTCATAACTCGGGGATCTGCTAGAAAACTGTAATTTTAAGGGGATGTTCCCCGTCCAAGTAAGTCTCAATATGTTCAGTCCCAGACATCGGGTATGCGTGGTACCCACGTGCGGGCCCGAGAAATTTTTTTCCAACAAGCTGCTAACTCAGGAACCAGGAAAGCTAGAAAGCTGAAATTTTAAAAGGGTTTTACCCGACAGTTCTGATGGCCAATCTTAATTTGTTTGGCTTGAAGCATTTGCTGAAAAAACCGATGCCGGTAGCGACAAAAACTGCAGGAAACTATGCAAAAAACACATTTTCGCACGGGCAGCCCGTGCGTTGGCCAATCATTTTTTTTCACAGACCGATTGAAATGTCCAGTTCGTGAGCGACTATTGGCGACACTTTGATCGTAAATACTTTAATGCCGAAGGAATTTTGCAAAACTTTTTAGGGAATTGGAGCACTCGCTTCTATCGAATTTGAGGAACAATGGTGGGAGAAAAAGTGGAAGCGCTAGAGCTGTACGATATGGCGAATCGGCTGCGCATCAGTTCGATCGAGATGACTGCCGCTTCGAAGTCGGGCCATCCGACAAGCTCGTGCTCCGCCGCTGAAATTGTAGCAACGCTGTTTTTCGGCGAGATGAAATTCGACAAAAAACAGCCCAAAAATCCATCGGCCGATCGTTTTGTTCTTTCGAAGGTATGCATTTGCATTGTCCCTGCGCGGAAGCATGCGTTTGATGGGACGAGGATTGCCTGAGTTATTTGCCTCAGTATAAGCAATTAAATTCTAATACAGTTGTTATGTAAATGACGAACAAGTAAGAAGGCGGGATTCAGTGGTCGAGATATATGTCACCCATCTTGCTCACAGCCGATGGTTATTGGGCTTTACTGAGCGGCGTGAGTGAAAAATTATGCAGCTAAACTGAACGGCCTGCACAGAAGTGGCCGAAACTTAACCCTATGAGCAGTGTGTACCAACTCAAGGCTGCTGAAGGATATTCTCCTGAGAGAAGCACTCGGCAGGACGTAATCACTTCTGTTGGTCATTATTACCGCTAGATGACGATTTTGAGCGTTTTTCATCCGGAAATAAAAGACTACCGCCGTGTTTCGCTAAAACAGTGCCTGATTAAACTCGAAGTCTACATTTTTTGCTTGTGATGTTCAGATGGCTTCAGATGGGACTAAGCCTAGTTACTCTGTTTAACCCTGTTTTTCGCAAGGACCATTTACTTCATTCCATTATTTTTTTTTTTTTAATTTTCCGAGTTTTAATAGGGTCACGCCTGCCCGGTGCTGTATGCTGTTTGGCATGAGTTGGGACATTTAACGCGCGATGATATGATGTCTCTGCGGAAGTTGGGTTCAGATATCGAAGGCCATCCAACCCCACGCTTGGATTTCATCGACGTTGCTACTGGTTCCCTTGGACAGGGCCTTTCATGTGCTGCTGGTATGGCATATGTTGGCAAATACATCGATAAGGTAAAATAAATTTGCACTTGTCAGGCCGCTGGATTTATTTGTAAATTAAATAGATAAATGAATCACTGGCGTGCTTTGCTGAGTATGTAAAATTGAAAGGCTTGTCTTTTTTCTGTTCTGAAGTTGGGCACTAAATTCATCAACACGGTTGGAAAAATGCAACTAGTTGAGCCAAATGATGCAACCGTGTTCGAATTTACGTAAAATCTTATAAAAAATGCGCAAAAATTAATCAAAAGATGCGATGAAAAAAGTTTACAAATATTTTAAAATGTCGTGTTCGGCAAAAAAGTAACCTGGTGTCAGTTTTAAACATGAATCGCAATTTTTGCCTGTAGACGTGAAAATAATATTTTCTTGCATGAATATTTTGCATGTTAATTTTCATTGAAATTCAGGCGAGCTATCGTGTGTACTGTCTGCTCGGTGATGGAGAATGCGCAGAAGGCTCGGTATGGGAAGCTGTTGGTATGCTTAGCTTCATTTTTAATGAACCAAAAAGCATTGGCAACAAGAAATGCATTAAAAATTCCATATTAAGTTATTTATAACTTGAGTAGTTCACTTCACTTCTGTTTGCATTCTCTTCGTGTTTCTCCGTAATAGCCTTCATCGTAAGGAGATTTCGAGGAAGACATATTTTGAATGCGAAGGGACCCGATGTGGCACTGAGAGAGAGAGAACTGCTTGGTGTTCAGTAACAAATAAAACATAGTTTCATAGACAACCTGCATCAGTCGATGGGGATGCTACGTATTTAGGGAGTGTAGTGATGTGATTTAAGATCTGGCCACTAAGCATCTCGAGAATTAGTGAGGAATCGCTTATAGTGCTTTTGGCGGTGATAGCATCTTTGATTGCCATTCAGAATGTGTGTTAAGGATTTGCGTCATACTACAAGCTGGACAATTTGGTTGCAATTGTGGACATGAATCGTTTGGGGCAAACGCAGCAAACTATGTTCGGCCATGATGCGGACGCTCTCGCAAAACGTTTCGAAGCTTTTGGTTGCCACGCAATTGTTGTTGACGGGCACAATGTTGAGCAATTATGTGATGCGTACAAAAGTGCACGGTCCGTTTTTGTTCTACTGCAGCTTGAATTTTTGTTCTTTAAGCTTGTATTGCTTTGGTTTCTCGCTCCTTGGAGCTAAATTTTGCTTGTACATTTGCAAAATCACGTAGAGTTGAATAAAATTATGCAAATTTTCAGGGAAACGAAACATCGGCCAACAGCAATTGTTGCAAAAACGTTTAAAGGAAAGGGTATCGTTGGCATCGAAGATGAAGTAGGTTATTTCATTTCTGATTATTCATCAAAAATTGAAAGGGCAAGATCTAAAACGTCCGGAAGTGAATGATTATTGCGGTTAACCTAACGGTTTTGAGTGGAAAAATATTACTAATGGGAAAGTGAAAGCATCTACTAGAACTAGGCTCGGTCGTGATTGAGAGACATTCTCGTTCCTCAGCTAATGCTGCTTTGGGTCGCCGTTTGCCGGCACTGCTTGACATGATGCTAACGAGCACTGGATTTCCTTTCCCCCGTGCGCTACCCAGCGCTTAGCGGCTGGATGACGTGGTTGGGGAGTGTTGGGTAGAGGGATGGAACATGGTAGGGGATGGTGAGTGATGGGCGCCCAGGCAGTGCTCTGGAGGCATGAACTGAGGATTCTTTGCCTCCTCCCTTTCGAATGTACGTGAACTGACCAACCGGCAAAAAATCTACACCAAGTAACGATTAAATCCTAACTCCCTCTCCTGCCTCGAACGAAACCCGCAACACACCACCCTCCCTTCTCACCTGCCACTTCCGAACTCCCGCTTATTCACCGTTTTAGGTTGCAGCTTCCGGGTCAACCCTGGAAGGGCAGACGATGGGGTGCGCAAAAACAAGAAAAGGTTGGGGTAAGAGTGAGCTAAGACGTTTCGGTCCATTGAGTCATATACGTCTTAAATCCACCTATCCGCCGTCACCAGTATGTGGCTCGTCTATGACATTGGCCGAACCAAGCCGATTCAACTCGTTGTAATTGCCGCAGTAATTAGTGTAGCGATGCGGCTTAAATCGAATGATTTACAAGACCAAAAATAAGTCGATACTAATGTTTAAAAATTTAGAAACGAAGAAAATCACAATGTTTGAAAAAGTTTGCAAATTCTGCAGTAAAGCTAAACGATCAATTAAAAGCTAAACTCATTTTCTCTGTTAGCGGTTTCATTTAAATTCTGAAATTACCCTTTATCAAATTTTTTGCCAAGGATATGAGATGTTTATTTTGGATGAGTAGTGTTTTTCTGGTATTTGTCATTCGTTAAGTGGCACTTATTGAACGCAGCCCTGTGCTCCTGAAACGGGCACCTCGGACATGTACAGTGCAGTGGGGCGTTAAGAGATTGAGTTCGAAATTGCAAAAGAATCATGAAAGGTTATGAATGAAGCTTGCAAACTTTAAGCCGCAGAATTTGCAAACTTTTTCAAACATTTCTGATTTTCTCGATTTCTAAATTTTTAAACATTAGTATCGACTTATTTTGGGCCTTGAAAATCATTCGGTTTAAGCCGCATCATTTACCCGCGGGCACGGGAAAGCTGAATTTAATTTTGCCGCGTCACCCTTTGGCGGGGAACACTACACTAAAATTCCAGCCGTCTAGCTTTGTTAGTTCCCGAGTTGAAAGAGCGGGACAGAATGTGGCACACACACACACACACACACACACACACACACACA